AGTTTCTGAGATATTATTTTAATGTCCTTTGCACTCGTTACCAGTACCATTGCTTTTTCTAATCACCTTACATGGCACCCCGATACCAATGCGCAGCACTCTTTTCGAGCTTCTCTCATACGTGAGAGGGGCGAACAATAGACTAGCAGGCTAGGTAATCTAATCTAAATCATCATGTTTTGAATTTCGATGTATTTTAGTTCACGGCTGTGATTTACCATTAATTCCAGTCGCGCGGTGTTGTATGAAATTGGAGGAGGCAAGCCGCTGAGCCGCTAGGTACTTCAAGTTCAACCGACACACACGACACACAAAAACTTAGTCCTACAGTTGTGTCACACCTGTGCTCAGTGCTGATGTCATTTTAAAACTGCATATTAAAAAAAAACTTTACTAATGCAGGTTTAGATTTGTGGCGATCAAACTAGGGAAGGTTGGTTCATGTTGGAAATAATCCCGTTTAATTATTGAAGAGCTCGAGATTTTACGATCTCAGGAACCACTTCAGGAACCACTTCAGCCTCAAACCACTTTCCAGGAGTAAGGTAAGAGTATAATACATAGTAAGGTAGTATTAGTTACAAAGCAATAATCACAGTAGCCGGCTGACACTGTGACACCCGATATATCTCCGACGTGCTAAAAAGCGACCAAGTACATGATCGTTAATTATGCAGGTTGCTTGATTGCTCTCTGCCACTAGGTCAACCACCACCAGTTATGATCATTATGGAATATGTCTCGTCTCACCTGTATGGTGGTAAAACAGCTGATCTATGACTGTCATGAAGTAGTCCGGAGTTCACTTGTCCTGTTATACTGGTAGATATTGGCTCAGTTTGGTCCCTAATTTCATGTATATTTTCGGTAACCGAGCCGTTTTGTCACCTTTAATTTCACTTAAAGTTTAGGTCTCGTGACGATACTGGAACCGTTTTGACATCTTTAATTGACTCTAAAATTAGCAGGATTGCAGGGTCATGTCACGTGTTACGTTCTTTATATTGGAATTTTATGCCTTATATTATTAAATACTGAAAACTGAAAAGTTCTTGATCGTTCGACGGGGCAAAAGCCGTTATATCGATTTTAATTCAGTTTATTTCCTCAACTTTGTTTCTCTTAAAATGATCGCTAATTTTTAGCGTTTCAATTAATCATTGTAGTTAATTCAGTTAATCACAACTTTTAGTTGATCTCTTCTGTAAGTTAATCACTACTAAACCTCTAATAGTAATACAGTAAAACCCCGATTTACCGTGGAGTTTGGGGGAAAGGAAACATCCGCGGTAAATCGGGGTCCGCGGTAAATCGGGGTTTTGTTTGGTTTACATTATGTATGTTTAGCACTATTTTTCACGGTTTCTAATTGTCTGATGATCACTAGATTAACTTGAACTTTATTCAGACTTCTTATCTGTTATAAACTGCCACATACAGTATAGTATATGTATATACATACAGTAGGTATTATATGTCAGGTTGTTCTACGACAGATTCCACTTGTCCAATGTCCGATCTACCTGTTCTACGAGACAGAGAAATTGCGTCAATATATTTACAAGAGACACAAGACCCCATTAAACTGAGGTTCTGTAACTGTAACATTTAGTAAAACAGTGTCTCTAATCGTGATTATCGAATAATCAACTGCCGCTTTTCTTACTCATAAACAGAGCGTATTTTTAAACGTTTATTCCACGATCCATTTGTCGCACAAAAACACCACGTGACGTCACCACGAAACCACCTGACGTCACCACGAAACCACGTGACGCTACCACGAAACCACGTGACGTCATCACAATACCACGTGACGTCATCACATCACCACGAGGTGATAACACTGATAACACACAGTTTCTGTTGGGACTGGTAGCCAACACTCTACACTACAAAAGACTGTTCCAATTCCATTAATATTATTAATATAATATCTCCCATTTATATATCTAACTGCTTAGTTAGTACCATTGTGCGACACAGCAACCAACCACGGACGCTACCAACACCACGTGATACCACGTGACCAGAGCTCGTCAACTAATGTTCAGATCGTGCCCCACAAATGACGTCTGAGCGTCTGACCAACTCTTATCAGACGTTATCATTAGACTTATCAGTACATTGGGGGAGACCACACCTTTGTTCACACATTTGATATTCTGGGACTTGATGTTGATTCACGTCATTCTGCAGCAAAAGGTCCAATTCTTGCTACATGCTCTTCATGGTTAGCCTAAATCAGCTTATAGCGCAAACCAGCTTACACCGTTAAGCCCAAACCAGCTCACGCCGTTTCTTTAACGGTTTATTGATTTAAATAGTCACCCAATATATTGGGCAGTCGTTCTTAGCAACAGTTTTTACTCAGTCTCTAACATTTTCAAGTTAAGATTCAATACCAATATAAACTTTTGATTAGAATAACTACAAAAACAACATCAACAACGTGAAGACATAAAATAAAATTGTTACTGATACTGCTATGTGTAGCCTTTGTCACACATATTTAGGAACTATACCTCATATTTATCTTTATTGTAGTCACACAAATAGTGCTCATCGCTTGAGGACTTTATCAAAAGGAAAGTCGATAGCAATTACAAAGACCCTACTAATATCAATTTTACTAGAATCTTGCTGATTCACGTCATTATGCAGCAAAAGGTCCAATTCTTGCCACATGCTATTTGTCTTATACCTAGTTTGGCACCATGATAATGTTATTTGACCAAATATAGTATGTCATATACAATTAATAACCAATAATGAATAAATTCATCATTATTGAATTTCACCAATCCTTGCAGAGCAATTTTACAGTTTCTGGTAATTTTACCCCGGGTGTGGTCCCAGTATTTTACTCCAAGCGTATCAATGTTAGGTAAACAGTTGCTAGGTAAACAGTTGCTAGACAAACGGTTGCTAGGCAAGCGGTTGCTAGGCAAGCGGTTGCTAGGCAAGCGGTTGCTAGGCAAGCCGTTGCTAGGCAAGCGGTTGCCAGGCAACTATGTAATTACTAAATCAATGGTTGCTGTTGTAAGGCAATTGGTGTTTAAGTGACTCTTTGCTAGGAACACGTTACTAAGTAACTAGATACTAAGTAACTAGCTACTAAGTAACTAGTTACTAAGTAACTAGTTACTAAGTAACTAGTTGCTAATTACTTTGTTAATAAGTAACTAGTTGCTAAGTAACTAGTTACTAAGTAACTAGTTGCTAAGTAACTAGTTACTAAGTAACTAGTTACTAAGTAAAACTAAGTCACTAAAACTAAGTCAGCGAGATGGCCTGATATTGTATTATATTGTATTTATTTCTGCTTGTGACCGTTTTATACCGATATGATTGGTCACTTGTGTGGAGTGGGCCTTGATTTAAATTTCATCAGAGGACCATTTTATAGTTACGTTTATTTGTCACAAGCTGAGACATATTACATATATGATATATATAATATGCTTTATCAGCCGATTAAAATGGTCGGTCAAATGTTGAAAATTTGATTAATTAATACATATTTAGTCGACATCATCTATGTATTCTTTTAGGTTTGCTTTTTAGGTAGTACTGTTGTACTGTTGTAGTGTGAATTAGAAAATCTATAACTTGTTTTGTTCTAATTTATCGTATAATTCATCAAATCTTAAAGTAAGTTTGAGTGACGAGGGTGGCCCACCTGTGTTCATACACGTTAAATTAAGTTTTTACGGTTAGATTAAAGGTACAAACGGTTGTACCTGAACCCTAACCGTAATCATGACACTAACGGTAACCCTATTCGTAACCCTAATCAGTAAAATTTTGCGTTTAATCAGCGTCCAAAAATACATCGATTTGTAGATTACATTTTTACCCTCAGGGACCCTTTCCAAACAAATGAACGTATATTCACCTACACAGAGTGGTCCAATTCTAATCTCCACCGTTGACGAGGAAAGTTGTACCACCCTTATGTCAACTATTATTATATCCAGACATTGAGTCTATTTAATAATATTGAAGATTTTATTTATTATTACGATAACGAACTTGTCTTGCTTTCAGCTTTGTCTGGAGTATGTTGTGTATATTAATATAATATGTCGGAGCATAAGTCATTAACAGTCATGGGTTGTGAAAGAAATGGATATGCTCATCTTATCGGTTATTAATCATAGTTATACATGCTCAGGAACATGGGTAGCAACTACTATTGGCATGAACATTTCCACTGTTCTTTGGTCCTGTTCATACCACCTCATTGCTTATCTTATCTTAAAGATATGCTTATCTTATTAGTTAAAGATATGCTCATCTTTTCAGTCAATAGTTATAGTTTTGTATGCTCATTGCTCAGGAACATCGATAGCAATAACTATAATTGGTAATGGTATAGTCATGAACAATGAACATTACCGTAATGGTATAGTCATGAACAATGAACATTACCACTGTTCTTCGATCATATCCATGTCATCTGATCATGGTTTCTGATCAATGTACTGCACTTGATGGAATATTGATCAGCACATATTATTCTTAGTCCACAGTCGTACTGGACAATTTATCAGATCGCTTACCATATTTTATTATCATAATGAACTAGAGATATGATCTGCACGCATATCTTGATATCTAGTTAGCTGTACACATTGTTAACGACCCTTCTTTGTGCGTCCACTTCTTTGTTCGTCCCTACCCCAACTGTGAGCAGTTAGGGTACAAGGAGCTATAAAGCACAGTACTGATTATAGCCCCACCGCCAGCAGACCACAGTAACATGACTATTTTTCATGTTTTCGTACAAGAAATAAATCCTTGTGTTTGAGCATGCAGTTATATTTACTCACTAATTAGTCGCAGTAATTAAATTATGCTTATTTTGATACTTTTATGTCGCTGAATTTTATGATAAACTTTGTCCGATATAAGTATTACAAATTTAAGGGCTACAACACCCCCCCCCCGTCTACCGATGTTACCAGGATATTAACACCCCTACCCAGATCGTAGCTATGAACGAAGTGACGGAGCCCCTCTCGGGAGGACTCTCCGCTACGAACACGACCCCCGCCTTGGTGACCTTCACCTCTCGTAAACCTCCCCCCGAACTACCGGACAACTTTCTCTGGAAGGACGGACCTTCTTATCTGCTGGGGGTGGTTACCGGGGTTATGACTCTTCTTATGGTCAGTTCGGGTGTTTTAATGAGGCATTGATTAGTGATTATCCTCCAATTATTAAGAAAAAAACAGTTTCAAGGAAAAGATTATTAAAGGAAACAATAATTTCAAGTATCAAATGATCTGTTCATGTCTGTTTATATATGAGGTAAACATTTAGTAAGCATATATTTTAGCGTTTATCCCTTAACTCTCAACTTGACCAATGAAAGATTATCGAATTTAGTTAGATCGTTAGCTTTTAGAGGTCGAGTGAATTTAGTTTAACATTAAGATCTCACGTGCTATATTATTTTCACATTAAGATCACGTGTTCAGATAGTTGGAAACGTGTTGGTCCTAAGTGCTCTGTGTCTCAGAAAGAGTGTTAGATCTCCCTCAAATCTCATTATAGGTGAGTTCAACTTTTAATTGATGGGACCGATTATAACCGTGTTATTAATGGATTGCTCCAATGATTTATCTTCACCATTTTTATTGATTTGCTTAATCCCAGCAGTATCTCACTCTATTTCCCCACTATTTCTCCACTATTTCTCCACTATTTCTCCACTATTCTTCCTCAGGAGCCACCTCCCTGAACGACCTCCTGACTGCTTTACTGTACTTAGTGTTTGTGTGTGTCTCTTGCTTTACTAATACCTGGATTGGGGGCGAGCTCGGGTTGTGGTGTCAATTCTCAGCTACCTTCGCTCTAATCTCCATGAAGGTAAATAACTTAACTTAGTATTCAGTTACCAGCTTAAACCAGTTACCTAGTAACAAGTTACATAGTAACCAGTTAGCAGTAAACTCGAGTGTCAAGGCCAGTAACTAGCACGTAGGAACAAGCCACTGGCTAGAAACCAGTTATTTACCAAGCATTAAACAATCTAAAAGCCAGCTATCCTACCAGGTAACGTTTATGAACATATCAATGATAGCAGTGGAGCGTCTACTCTCTATTAGACTGCCACTCTACTACCGACGTCTCTGTTCCAGTAAGAGAGTCCTGGTTGCTATAGCAGCCGCCTGGTTCCTAGTTTACTTATCTGGAATCCTTCTGATCTACCTTCAGAACTATGGTGTTAGTATTCTTATGCGTTTAGTTTTTCTCAATATTGTTATTTCTACATCAGTTTCAATTCATATCATATAATCTCTTGTACGGTCAAATAATTATCAGAACGATTTGAAGATGGTCAATCAAAGCCACAAAAATTTAACCGAATCTTTATTTATGTGTATCTCAATCTGAATAAGAACTGTTCATTTCTCGATCTTGAAGAAAAAATTGTAGTGCAGTGAACCAAGTTAGCAAGATTTCCCGCCCAATTGCCCCATTGTAACATCTTCCCTCAGGAGGGGTTTTTTCGGTACTCTCGTCACTACAAGCAGTGTGTGATATACTGGGACCAATCAGCAGACGATACGTCCGCTAGCCAAGTGTACTCTACATTCGAGCTGTCCTTCAATGTTACTCTCTTCGCCATTATGCTCACGTGCAACGGGTAATTAATTTCACAGTTTTAATTTTAACAGTGTAACCAAACTGCATTATTTGATATTCATATGGTTTACAGCTTCAATAATAGTGCTGGCAAGCACGACTGTCAGCCTTTATTCCCCTTTACATTTTTATTTTAGTATTATACTGTAACTACTCATTTTATGATTCCGTCGCCAAATTTGAAATCGTGGATGGGAAAAGCGACCGACGGTATAATTTTGTGTTTGGGTACGATAACGGTAATTTAAATTGATATTATTTCCATTTGTTTTGAAAAAGGAGACAGTGGCGACGGTTCACTCTACCCAAATTTGAGTTTTAGTTAAAAATGTGAACTAAACTAATTAAATAACTTATATGTAACGTTCTTTAGATCAAGTTTAACTGTTAATACTATCAATATCATATTATAGCATGAAGTGTCGTATTCGCTGGTCACGATGGAAGCGACCTGTTTATATACATAGAATTATTATAAGTTAAATTAACCGAATGGAAAGTGCAGACAAGGAGACTTAAAACTCACATTGAAAAAAATCAAACAGAAATAATTGAACAATATTCAAACTTTTAAAAGTAATCTACCACCTAAATGTTGATTAACTATCGAATGAACTCCGTAATTAAATACAAAATCAATCTTACAGTTTGATCAAAGAACACTGAACAATATCGATAAACTCACTGTAACACAGAAACGTAATATTACTCGACAACTCTGTTTTTCCGATTTTACATAGTACTATTATCATAGTAGTGCTAAAAAATAATTTTTTTGATAAGAACACTTTGTGTATCTTTTTTCTTTTTTTGTAATAATTCATATCATCAATAATCAAATAACCATCAATATTCTCAACGAAAATAAATGTTGAAAGTGGCCACCAGCAAATATGTGAACGATCAAATCAAATGAAATTCATTAAAAAACTCACTGTAACACAAAATCAAACTTAAATTGGAATAATACAACTTTTTTTCCGATTTTACTAATTCCGATTTTTACTAATACTAATAATAGTGTTAAAATTAAATGAAATGAAAACAAAGAATAGTTTAAAATATGAAAGTTGCATGTTTCTTTCACTGAAAGTTTCAGTAATCCTTATTATCAATAATCGAACATTCAAGTAGGTACTCAGGTAGCCATCATGACCAAAGTCAATGCTTCCTTTCTTGCCATTACCATTATTATCGGTAATCAAACAATCAATCGTTATTGCTAACAGATATTTAGCAGTTTTTAAACTATTTAATCTCGAATAATGATGGTTCGCCGTCAAACTTTTGCTTATAATCAGTCGATTCAGTTCCAAACAAATTTAATAAGATAATTTGTAACTTGAAAATATTTTGAATACTTTGAATATTGAAATTGTTTCACAAATTGTTTGAATATTCTGGTTCAAACCAAGTTTGAGCTTTAGTGTTCTTGACGATATTATATCGTAATCTAAGGCAGACTAATCCCGCTCCTACTAAATCGCTCGCCCAAATTTTAAGAAAATTCTTATGAAATTGATCGAAATCGGTGTATTTTTGGACGCTGATTCCGAATCACGAATGACGTAGGGTAAAAATTCTTCCCTGGAGAGTTATGGGCAAAAAACCGTTTTGGTCACGTGACAGGCCAGTAAAATTCATGAATTCGATCGTTTAGGGCTCGGGTTATGGTTAGGTTTGAGATAAGGGTTATGGATAGCTTCGGGGTTATTATATATTATATAATATCAGAGTAATGATCCAGAATCTCTTGAAACTTTTAAAATAGTACCATGTGATAGAAAATCATGCGTTACATGCTTAAACCGCCTTTCCTTCGACAACTTCTACACTAATTGCACTACAAACTCTACTTTCCTCATTAACTTTAACGGATCATGTCAAACGAAGAATTGCATCTACTTGATAAAATGCTTGCATAAAGATTGTAAATATCAATACATTGGGCACACGATCAATTCAATTGCTTCTAGAATAAGCCAACATAAATCTACTATAAAACTTGGTGGAGGCTGCAAAATACTTCGTGATCACTTCACTAAAATTCATAGCACTGAAAACATGGCTATCATGCCGATTAAACTCTTACCTAATAATACTACATTGAAAGAAAGAGAAGATATTGAAGAAGCTTGTATGTTGCAGTTAAATACAGTTTTCCCATATGGTCTCAACGTTCGTGTTAAAAAGAAGAACATACTAGATGCCTGCAATATTGTGATGAACTCCAAAACAACGATTTATAGTCAGTTCGATATAGTTAAAATAAATAGACATTCACGTGGAGGTAGATTCATTAGTAATATAGTAAGTGAAAGACAAGAATTTGATATCGATGTATTTTATGAAGATTTGCTGGATGATGATAAAACGATTGATATGCATGATATTCGTACTAATCTATGTAATCTTAAAAAGAAACAACTTAAGTTAGTATATATTAAAGCTATATCTTATATTAATAATTTTAATAGTAGTATAACGACATGTAGATTTCATAAAATTCTTTTAGTTAAAGATTTATCATGGTTTTACCTTACAAGAATGGGTTTAGCGTGTAAGAATAATAGTAAATCAAATTCTTTTATTGTAGTTAATTATGTTAATAAATTTGTCGAGTATATTGATTTTCGAAAGATATTTAAAATGGAACAAGTTACCAAAGCTGCACCATTCAAGTCAAAGTATCATCAGCAACCTACATTGTCCTACAAATACCCTCCAACAATCAGATCTAAAGTACTTAACTACAAAAAAGTATATAATGAAGCTAACATTGACTCAGAAACATTGAAATGTAATTGTGTATCAAGTCGTTATACAGACCCTACTCATAAACATGTCATTACAGGAGAGCTATCAATGATCAGTAATGATAAACTTCGTAATCTCCTAATGAAAGGATTAAATTATAGAGACCAAGCTAAACCATGTACTGAAAAAGCTTTAAAATCAGTAAAGACGGCACTCAAAAGCTATTGCGATAAATTGTCTAATTTATGGCATAAACCTATAGAAGAGTTTCAAGAGTGGAAAACACTAATCATAGAGCAAGTGAAAATTCAACTGCAAGGAGCTAAACCATATCCCTATTATTCAGTATTGTCAGATGTTGGTGTCTTAGCAGATTTAGATGAGCTTCATAAAGATTTTGTATTGGTTCCTACCGACAAAGCCAAAAATAATATTACTATTGTTTGTAAAAAGTTCTATATTAGTATGATTGAAAAGGAATTATCATCGAATACATTTACTAAAGTTAATCGTTCAGAAGATGATATAATTAATGAGCATAAAGCATTCTTACTTAAAAATCGTATTAAATTTGATGAAGATAATAGTAAATTACCTTATTTATATATTACACCAAAACAGCATAAAAAGCCAGTCGGAGTTAGATATATAACGTCTGGTAGTGGAAGTAGTTTACAACAATTATCAGTCTATCTTAGCATTTGTATTAAATCTATGCTTCACTCAGCTAAAAATAAATCTATATATGATAATAAATTTCACGTTAGAAATGATTATTTTGTTATTGATAATAATGAACCTATCTTAGATTTTCTTAGTAATGATAATACCCAGAAGGGTTTAAAGTCTGTCAGTACATATGATTTTTCAACTTTATATACATCTATTCCTCATATTCAATTGAAGGATAATCTTCGTATGTTTGTAGAAAGAGTATTTGATTTTAAAGATAAGTCTTATATTATTCCTAATCTTTATACTAAGAAGGCCTATTTCTCTGACAATGTTAGTAAAAATAAAGTTCAGTTTTCTAAAGATACACTTTTGGAATGTCTTAATTATTTGATTGATAATTCTTATGTTACTTATCAGGGTCAAATTTATAGACAAGTTATTGGAATACCAATGGGTACCAATGCAGCACCACAAATAGCTAATGTTTATTTACATGTTTACGAATATAAATATATTAAACTTTTGATAGAAAAAGGGGATACAGAAAATTTAAAAAGATTAAAAGACACATTTCGTTATCAAGATGATTTGATAGTTTTTAATGATTTCAATTTATTACAGAATGTATTAGAAGATATTTATCCTAAGGAAATGATAGTAAATAATACTAATATTTCGGCTCGTAAATGTTGCTATCTAGACTTAAACATTAGTATTTATCAAGGGAAGTTTAGAGTGACATTATATGATAAAAGAAAAGATTATAATTTTAAAGTTATATCTTATCCGTTTTTGGATGGAAACGTTCCAAATAATTTGTCTTATGGAATATTTATTTCTCAATTAGTACGATTAGCCAGAATTAATTCGACACTTAAGGGTTTTAAAAATTGTGTTACCGAACTTTTAGGTAAATTGGTTGCACAAGGATTTAAGTTAGCTGCATTGCGCAACAAGTTTGTCAAGTTTTATAAATCAAGATTAAATATTTGGGGTAAATATGGTAGTGATATTTATGATGAATTTATTGAAATGTTTCAATCACCTAATATTATTTTGTAATTTGTATCGACATATATCGTTTTTCAGTTATGTAAGTTACCTAATATCTATTAATTATTCTAGTATTTGTGATTAATTTGTATTGATTTATTATTTGTGACTTATAAATTAGTAACAATTATATTACCGTCTAAAAAAATTTTTGTCGAAAATTTATTTTAGTCTAAAAAAATTTTTGTCAAAAAATTTATTTTATGAAGGAGTAAGTTGTCAAAAGATGCGCATTTGTATATTCATTTATTGCTTGTTTAATTTGTTTTTTGTGTTTAATTTACGATTATTTGTGTTTGAGATTCTGTGATTAAATTTATTTTGTTGATTGTAATGTTGTGATATTGCATAATTTATTGTAAATGTAGCATATGTTTCAGAAAATTATGTAATGTAATGCGATGGAAGTTCTTTAAGCTGGCAATTCCAGTCCAAACCCTGGAAACATGACATAAAAGATTCGATTTTACTTCTTTGAATGAAAAGCACTAATATATATGGTTAGGGTTAGGGTTGGGAT